AGATTGGTCGCTCGCCACCGAGATGGGCCTTCACATCGGCATGCCCGTCACTGCGACAAATGACACTAGTACACACCTTATTACCAACTACAATGGAATAGGAAAACGGAACCAGGACAGAGGTAGGTGTACAAAGCACCCTGTTGGGAACGTTTTTGTCAACTAAGTAGTCGCAGATTACCAGATCCTCCAAACAGGTGAAGACGAACTGGTTCCTCTTTGGAAAGCGTAAGTGGCCATGGCCATCCACTATCCCCAATGTCTATTCATCCGCTGACATTTGGGTCTCGATACATAGGCTTCGAGCAACCACCGCAGCGCCATAGTACGTTGTTCTAAAATCGTATGGTGCTCTGTCTAATCGTTGGCAGTTTTTTTGCTCCCCAAGATATCGATAGCCAGCAGTACCAGGATGGTGGGGTAGGCCCCTACAACAACCCAGCGGGGCTAGCATTCGCAGAGACGGCTGCCGTGTTCCCTGAAACCCCTCAACCAAGTCTAGTCGCTTCATTCGGAACTGGCTCAGCGGGTGGAAAACAAGTGGAAAGGACGAAACGGTCGGTAGCCATCAGTAGACGGCCCAACCCTTCGAAGGTCACAAAGCCGCGGAAGAAGAGCCGCCGTCGCAGCTGGTCAGATTTGTTCGCCTTCAGAATATTCCAGGCTTTTTTGAGCCACGGCGACTCGACACGTGCCTGGAAACAGCTTCTCTCTCAACATGGAGAACAAAGCGGCGGGGAGTTCTTTCGATTTGATGTACAGTATGACGGATCTGCACCGAGCCTTGACAACATAACGGACTTGGATAAGATGGAAGAGCTTGCAGAGGAGTGCATAATGGCCTCACCATCACTAGACAGGCTTGCACTACGCATTCGCGCACAGAACTTTTACTTTGAGCTGGACGGCGAACCACAATACACGAATGGACTGTACGAGTGTTCGGGTCACCTTTTTTGTAGGCTTGAGCCAGGCTCAGAAGAACATTACGTCTTCTTGGAAAGCCTAGATAACTCCTCCTCGCACTTTCAGATCGGTAGCAAATGGTTGTCAGGAAGATTTTTGGAGGATTCTGCTACGGGACAAA